GTGTGTGTGTGTGTGTGGGATAACCCCTGATTTAATATATACACCACTACAATATACTAACAGCAGTTGAGAATGGCTTCTGGACTAGATTTGTGTGTGAATCCGTGCCTAATTTCATATACACAATAGGTTTGTTGCACTGTATTGCACTAACTGTTCTTCTCGTGGTAGTTTCCCGAAGGTCGCAAACAACGACGGCGTTCGAGCGATACGAAACCTCCGCTAGGTGACCACATTGGTACGAATGATATACCTGCGGTTGTCAAGATAATGAAGAAAACGGGTAAGCTTAGAAGGCTGATGCGGCATATGTAAATACATATACATATATATATACATATATGTATGTATGTATGTATGTATGTATGTATGTATGTACGTATGTATGTATGTATGTATGTATGCATGTATGCATGTATGTATGTATACATGTATGTATGTATGTATGTATGTATGGGCAAGTTGATATGCGTGTACACACGTTGTTCTGTTATTTGTAAGGGAATAGTATATCCGTGATATGTATACTTCTTTATACAGGTGTATACTTGTTTATTCTGGTGTTATCTCCGGTGATATCGTTGGCACACGCGCATTTCGGGGCTATCTCATTGCTAAGTCAACTGGTTCCACCAATCTTGTCATAGCTATATACCAAATTTAATAGTTCTCGACATACCATTATAGTCAATCGGTTCTATCCTATTTTAATCCTTCATTATAATCCCAATTTAATCTTTCACTACAATCCTATTTTAATCTGTCATTGCAATCGCATTTCACTCTTATATTACAATCTCATTTTATCTTCCACTACAACCCGATTTTAATCTTAAACTACAAACCCATTTTAATATCTTTGATTACAATCCCATTCTACTCTTCCAGTACAGTCACATTTTAGTCTTCCAGTACAACTCCATTTTCATATGTCTTTCTCCAAAACTCTATGTGCATTCGCCTTGAAGGCGATGAGGTGGTGAACTTTGCGGACATCGTGCTGAAGATCAACAAACGCAACAAAATGCAGAGCCGTATCTTGCTCATTACGGGTACGATATTGGATTTGGCTGTGGCTTAGACGTTCTAGTGCACAATCCTAAACCCAATCCACGCAACCGATACGAAGGCGTTACAGACAAAAGATAGCCCCACGCGAACACTATTTTAAAGTGGTACGTCTTGCCCACCGATATGAGGTTTTTAGGGGTTTAGGGATGTCCGTCGGCACGACTGCACCAGTCTTTAGGAATATGGGAGTAGTGCTCTGTGTAGAACGAGTTGCGTATGTGTTTATTTCTATCGTTGGTGGGTGTGCCCATACACATAAATACGCGCATTCTTGTGTATCTCCAATGGTTGGGTTTGTATACATATAGGTGTACTCGTGTACTACTATATTCTACAGTAACGTCTGTATGCACACGTTTACGTTTGGTAAATAAAACTTTAGTAGACATCAACCAGCAGCATTTACCCCTCGTTAACGTATCTTGCCTCTACTGATGCACCTCACAGCCGAATGATAACACTATACAACTTTTAACTTCTTTGCGTTCATACACACGAATGCACCCATTTGTCTACACAATGACAATCTTGGTTGATGTATATATATATCTGTTTCATCTTGTACATATACTGTGGGCTGTAGTTGTTCAAGCACACACGTCTCTATACGTACTTGCATACCGGCACAGACACACGCGCAGAGCTCCGGTCCTATTCAAATGGACAATCAAGCTTACACTCACATGCTTTAGGGTGTAACACATATATGTGTATACGTACAGATGGGTGTCTCTGCCTGGCTACATATGTATAGTGTAGTCTCCCCTCGGCAGAGGCAAACGTGGGCATCTCAAGACCCGCACAAAAGTGGCCAATTGAACAAAACAATCGAGCCCAGAGTGTATGAAAACACTTCGCGTTGTTATTTTTATGATCGCGTGGGTGATATTTAGTGTTTGCAATCTGGTCTCTGCCGATTTTCCTGATTCTTGTTTCGGGAGTCTCGGCCATGGATTGTTGCGCTAATTCTCAATGAATAAATCCCTTTGCATTGTGCAGAGAATGGAATTTGCAACATTGAGCCGAATAACTATAAATTAAGGAGGAGGATACCGTTTACTTCTCTTGGCTCCGTAGGGTATGTCCTGTCTATATATATCAAAGCAAGATACGAATTATTCCTATCTGTTGATTCTTGAGATGCTCGTTGTATGCACGCCACAATGTATGTGAGTCCCTGCTCTCGCCGACGGTACGGAATTGAGCGCACAATAGAATTTCGTTCAATCTCCTTTGATTATATACTTATTGATTGTTCTTGTACTATGTTCTATTATATCGTATTTTTTTCTATGTTCTGTTTTATCATACAGATAGTACACTCCATTGCTTGTGTTTTTATTGTTATTCTTGTACTATGTTCTGTAATATCGTACATTTTTCTATGTTCTGTTTTATCATACAGATAGTACACTTCATTGCTTGTGTTTTTATTATTATTCTTGTATTATGTTCTATAATATCGTATATTTTTCTATGTTCTGTTTTATCATACAGATAGTACAATTCATTGCTTGTGTTTTATCGTTCACTATGTTCTGTTATATCATACAGACAGTATACTTTAATGCGTATCTCTATGGATTGGTCTTTTACTATGTTCTGTTATATTTTACAGAGAGTATATTTCATTGCCTATCTCTATTGATCGTCATGTGTTCTGTTCTAATATTATAGACCGAGTACTGTTTATTGATTGTTTTCTAACTATGTTCTGTTATAGTACACAGACAGTAACTTTATTGTTTATTATTTTACTATATTGACTGACTATGTCTATTTCTGTATGATGATGATTCTTAGCGTACTATTTTCTACTATTCTTAGTTGAATATTATCGTACTATGTTCTGTAATTCTTGGTTGACTTTAGTTATTTACGTTTTATTCAATTCTACAGACTGAGCCACCAATCGGATAACTTTTTCATCCTACGCGTCAGAGAAGAGTATGACTACTTGCTAGTTAGCTCTAAGAAGGTATGTATGTAGACCAATCGCTACAGCACTATCTTCTCTTTGTGGGTCCCACACGCGCACACGCACACACACACACACACACACACATATATATATATATATATATATATGCACACACACACACACATATATATATATATATATATATATATATATATATATACACACACACACACAC